TGATTTTCTAACAAATCATTTACGATTGAAGCTTTATTTGTTAATTAGGTCTTTACTTTCCCATCTTATTCACCTTTCCTCCATGCTAACACCCATGTTGCAAAGCAGACAAAGAAAGTCATAGGTTTGAGGAAGAGAGCTGTGGGAGGGGATGCTGCTTCTCTGGTATGTTGAGGCTGTGGGTTCAATCTCAGCACCACAGAAGAAGCAGGAGTAGGAGGAAGAAGGGAGGAGATGGAACAGGAGAAGTTAGAGGAAGAGGAGATGTAGGAGGTGCAAGAAAATGAAGGGGAGAAAGAGAAGGACATAGACAAAGATGTCCTAAAAATGACAGGAAGAAAAGCCCCTGCTTCCCATTTTGGAACAGTATTTAACTTGCGCAAAGTTTCTCAGACTAAACAAATAGCAAACATATACAGGGTTTCTGGAAGCCTTATGACCTATGAGGTTATGCTGTGGTTTCTCCTTTCAGGAGACATGGAGCTTCACATGGAGGCCACTGTTAGCATCAGCCTTACAGAGGTGGGACAGTCTACCTGGCATCAAAGGTGTCCTTCCTCAGAAGGGGAGTAGTCAAGGGCAGAACAGGCTCACGATGCCCTGCTGAGCAGTCCTGAAAACAGGTCTTAGTTTTGGCAAATGTTCACAGGATGCTGAAAAGAGATGTGTTATCACTGGCAGAGACATACTTTCCAGATGTCAGGATTCATGAAACTCTGCTAAGTGGGAAAGGATGGTGGGGAGCAACATGGATGAAAATGGTCAAAGACCTGAAGTAAAATCCCGCTTTCCCAAAGGTTTCATTGCTGTGTAGAATGGTGTACTGAAGAAAGACTGGTATATGACTGTGTCCCAATGGTTTGGAAGTCGTTAGTCAGTATTTGGAAACAAGCTAGGAAATCATTTTCTGTTTACTAGCACTTCAAATGGTGTTTGCTTTATGACCACATGCCAATAACCTGACCTTTCAGCACCTGTTTTGTCATCTCTAGAGAAGGGATAATAATAGCACTAAACTCAGGTTGGCAGTGAGCAGGAGAAATTTTAGCATAGGCTCTGAAATGCATTAAATATTCAATAACAGTAACTTTTAAATATCCATGATGTTTATACTGTTTTTATAATTTATTTTTTATTCATTTAAATTAGAAATAAGTTTGCTTCACATGTCAATCCCAGTTCCTTCTCTCCACCCTCCTCCCGCAACCCCTACCATGCCCCCCCCAGCCTCCCACCCTATCCCCACTTCCTTCCACACAGGGGATATTTGGAGTCTGTCATTTCACTCAGGGCAGGGCCCAGGCACTCTCCTAAGAGTCCAGGCTGAGAGATCATCCCTCTTTGTGTTATGGACACACGAAGTCCATTTGTATGGCAGGGATAAATACTGATCTACTGCCCAGGGCCCCATAGGTTGCTCAGGCCTCTTCACTGACTGTCACACTCAGGGAGTCTGGATAAGTCTCATGCTGGCCTCCCAGCTGTCTGTCTGGGGTCCAAGAGCTCTCCCCTGTTCAGATCAGCTGTCTCTGCTGGTTTCGCCAACCCATTCTTTGCCAATTTGCTCATCGTTCCTCTCTTTCTGTCACTGGGTTCCATGGGTTCAGTTCAGTGTTTAACTGTGGGTTTTTGCCTCTGCTTCTATCAGCCACTGGATGAAGACTCTAGGATGACATACAAGGTAGTTATCAATTTCATTATTGGGGAAGGGCATTTAAGGTAGTCTGTCCACTATTGCTTAGATTGCCCATTGGTGTCATCCTTGTAGATCTCTGGAAGTCTCATTATAGTGTCAGATCTCTCCTCAAAGCAATAATAACTCCCTCTATTATGGTATCTCTCATCTCGCCCTCCTCTAGTCTTCACCCACTCATGTAGAGAGAAGCCGTTTCCTTGCCAGCCGTTTTGGTTTTTCCCCATCAGTCGCCTCGGCTCTGTCACGTTGTATTCCCCAAATAACACACAAGACGCTGTATTAATTATGAAGCTGTTGACCTTGCTTGTTTCTTACTGGCTATCTCTGACTTAAGTATTTAACCTATCTAAGTATTTCTCTTACCAGATGGACATCTTACTTCTCTGGTGGGCTACATGATGACTCCCTGTGTTTCTCCTACCCAGAGTCCTCCTGGACTCCTAGTCCCAGCTATCTTGCTTCCCTATTGGCCAACAGTGCTTTATAGACATATACACAGGACTTCCCCATCACACTCAACCTTCCTCCTCCCCCATATCCTCCTCTTCCCTTCTCTTTCCCCCACACTTTACCCGAGCTGCCTGTCATCTCCCCATGCTCCCAGTTCACTCAGGAGATCCTGTCCCATTCCCCTTCTCTGGGGTAACATCCCTTAGGATCCTCCCTGTTTCCCAGACTCTCTGGAGGTGGGACTGTAGGCTAGCATTCCCCTGCCTCATGTCTAAAATCCATATATGAGTGAGTACATACCATGTTTGTCTTTTTGATATCTCACTCATGATGTTTTCTGCTAGTGCCATACATTAGCCTGCAAATTTCAAGATTCCATTGTTTTTTCTTCACTGAGTAATACTCCATTGTGTACATGTACCACATTTTCTCTATCCACTCTTCAGTTGAGGGGCACCTAGGCTGCTTCCAGGTTCTGGCTATTACAAATAATGTTCCTATGAACATAGTGGAACAGATGTCCTTGTTGTGTGAATGTGTATCTTTTGGGGATATGCCTAAGAGTGGAATTACTGGATCTTGTGCTAGACTGATTCCCATTTTCCTGAGGAATATATCCGTACTGATTTGCAAAGTGGCTGTACGAGTTGGCACTTCCACCAGCAGTGGAGGAGTGTCCCCCTTTCTCCACATCCTCTCCAGCATAAACTGTCCTTGGTGTTTTTGGATGTTTATACTGTTAATGCACCTTTTTTTTCTCTCAAATATATAAATGCTTTAAAGTTAAGGGTACCCTTTTTTCCTCTGAAGTTTAGCTACATTTAGGCTTGTTAATACTTTGAAAATCTAATGAAAGTATACAGTAGCTATTTATAATAACTGACATTTTGCAACGATGTACATAAAGAATTTGTCTGTATTTCAGGATAAATGTTAGCCAGAGAGCTAAAGACTTAGTTTAGTTCACTGTTATACCATCCTTGTTACATTTTTAGTACATTTTTAGATTTTTTTCAGTGTGTGTGTGTGTGTGTGTGTGTGTGTGTGTGTGTTCTACATATTAGATACCACTTCCAAGTCACAAAGAATTTGAAGCTAAGTGCAACAAGAGTTCCATCATGAAAGTCAGAATGAGACTTGGCCTACACCTTAGCTGAAATGACCTCATAGGTGTTTCCCATTTTGTCTGAAAAACATTAGCTGTTCAGATAGCCATCCACATATGTCCTGCTTGCTCCCTGGGAAGTTAGTGTCCCTTTCTCTCTTCCATCTTCAGAGGATACGGGAAGCATTTGTGTACCCAGTACTGCAAGGATGATCACCCAAGACAAGCAATGAGGCATCCCAGCCACCACTATGAGCCCATTCTGTGGCTCAAGCATCTATGCCCCCCTCTTCCTGCAGGTGCCGTTCTCCCCAGTACAAGAGTGCTTTGATAGCTGTGCATTAGGAACAGTCATCATCACATCAATCAGCCTACATTATAGGAAAGGACATCTTTATTTGGACTTGGTGAAGTAATGCTTTTTTGTTTTGAATGAGGAAAATGTGGCTATGAAGCTCTTTCCTGGATTTGTCGCTTATTGAGCGTGATGCAATCTGTATCATACTCACAACATTCTTTTCATGAATATTCAAGAGTTCTGTACACGTAACTCAAAAAATCTTATGAATATTCAAGAGTATTATTGTACATGCGACTCTTTTCCAGAACTGGCCTACAATCTTATAAATACAAATAAAAAGGAGGGACTACAAAAAGAAAATTTAAAAATTAAAATGGCATCAAGGAAAAAGAAAATTCCATATCAAAATTACATAATCAAGTAGACAAAACAAAGAAAATGTATTAGCGAGAAAAATATGAAACATTTTAAGCAATTTTTGAGGGGAAATTGCCAATATGACCTACATATAACAATAATGACGCTAGAAAACATATGTTAATGGTAGTTAAATAAAATTACATTAATTATGTGAGACAGTCCATATATAGATTTATTAGTTTAATATTTAAATTAAAATTCAGGTTCAACATAACTACCTACCCTTTAAATAACTTTCCTCTCCTTGGTCACTTGTTTACATTTGAAATTACACTCCATCACTATCCTTACACATCTTTATTTGTCAGGCTACAGATTGCTCAGTGTTAGAACTGCTTATTGCTCTTGCACAGAATCCCAGTTCTCTTCCCAGTACCCATGTCAATGGACTCACAACTGCCTATGACCCCAGCTCCAGAGGACCCAACATTCTCTTCTGGATTCTAAAATTTAAAAAGGGTTGGAGAGATGGCTCAGCCATTAAAATCTAAGCTCACAACTAAAAATGAAATTAAAAAAATTAAAGTCATATTACTATCATTGCTATTACTCTTATTTTTTGAGCCTAAAACACAAAGGCAGGAAAGTCTATTTGCATTCTGTTTAGAAGTGCGTATTTAATGGGTGCCACTGCTATAAGACCGCCATGCCTAACCTAATTACATTTGGTACATCCCACCTCCAACCATACCTTCAGCAAGCAGGCCACTCCTTATCAGCCATCATTTATGTCATACTAGCCTCAAGAACAAATGACATAAGATCATACCCATTGAATTTTGCTCCAGACCTGTCATTGAATTACATATAGTGCTTATATGTGATAACAAGTTTAAAAAATTAACCATTTTTAAAAGCTAATAATTTAATATTTAATATAAAACCAAAGATTCTTCTTGCAATCTACTTTGTCCTGGATATATTTTAGTACAGCCTCGAGTTTGGTGTTCCATTTGAAGGCTATAATTAATAAACTATTTTTCTCTTCTTTTTATTTTTTCTCTCTTTTTTCTAAATATCCCTGGTAGGTACAAAGCACAAAACAATGCTAGAAGCCCGCAATGGAAGTGGGACTATCAAGGCCTTTCCTCGGGCAGGAATGAAGGGCAAAGGACCGGTTAACAAGGGAAACACAGGCCTCCAAAACAAAACATTTCACTGTGAAATATGTGACGTGCACGTCAACTCGGAAACACAACTCAAACAGGTACCATAAAACTGAAAGCCAAAAGGGCCGCCAGCGAGAGGTCTATGTATGTTCCTGTTCTTCTCATGTCTCTCTCTTCCACTCATCCTCCTTCCCTTCAGTCCACTCACCAATCCATAATTCATCCTTGTACCCATCTATCTTACACATAAAATTATCCATATAACCACTCATCAATTTACCCATTCATCTAAGTCGTTACCCAGCCACTCATTGATCAGTTCATTCATCCACCCAGTCATCTACCTGTCCTTCCACTCATCCAAACACCCATTCATTCACCAGTCCACCCAACTACCTCTCCATCCACCCATCAGTACATCCATTCATCCACTCGCACCCTCATTTTTCTTTCATTCACTGTTTTCATTTTAGCTGTTGAAGGAATATTAAGATGCAGTGGTTAACAAATGAAACATGTTGGAAGTTGTTTACAGTGAATTTGTCTATTTCTTGTGTGGGCACTTTGGGAAGAGAAGGGATATTAGCACCTTTCTCTACTGACCTTTCCACTCAAAGCTGTTAGTTTTCTTTAAAGACCAATACACAATGTTCTAATTTTACTTATTTAGATATTTTTAAACTACAGCTAATTTCATACTGTGGTGTTCCTTTATTGCATGTCCTTTCATTGTAAGTATTTGTTGTACTGTATTTCTAATTCCTACAGCCACCTGCTGATGCAATGACTAACAATGGACACTCATTTGTGCTCCAAATAGCCTACTAAAGAAAGCAATGGTACATTTACAGCTGAAGGTTCAGCCTTCATATTCTGTTGTGGTTTGTGGATGGATGTTATTTTGTACCTTAGTTATTTATTTTTAGAATTTAAGGGGTTGACATTTGGCTGCACAAATATGAGGATAAATATTAGTATGGAAATTCATTCATGCCTGCCTGGGCATGTTTGTTTATTTGCACATAAAATTCCTTCAGACACCCTTTCCTCTGTAAATACTTTTTGGAGATGTGTGCTGTGATAAGGCAAAAGCAGAGCAGAAAAAAATTGTTCTTTTTATTAAAAATACATTAAAATGAACAGTGTGAAAGGCTCTCAAATGCAAAGGCAGAACTGTACTCTGCTCTTTCTTTTTGTCTTTGTGAAACATGCATGAAGTAAGCATTATCTTCCTGCAGGTAAAAACAATATTTGTGGAAGTGTTTTACGCGTGTTTTTGAAGCTGACATTTTGATTGCTTTTAATAGCACATTAGCAGTCGAAGGCACAAAGACAGAGCTGCTGGGAAGCCCCCCAAACCAAAATACAGTCCCTACAACAAACTACAGAAGGCAGCAAACCCATTGGGGGTAAGTAATACTTTTGCTTCTAAAAGAGAATGGGATGTTGTTTACGCCCCCACAGTCTGCTTTAGAGGTACTTGGGGTGGAGGCTATCAGTTAGTATACTGAAGAATCTAGTAACAGGTGAGTTTCTGGTTCAGCTTGCCCTCCACCATGGAATGTGGAGTCACATGATTTGTTCCAGTGTTTGCCATCTTTCACCTCAGCTGGTCTGTCTAGTTAAGCTGAGATTTGTCCCTGAGAACAGGACTCGAGAGAAGTGAGGCTTTTGAGCTGAGTGAATGATCACCTAGAACGTGGTCTTGATGTTACTGCACACATGAAGAAAAGGCATCAGCGATAGTCAAGTCCTTAAATTCCTCTGTTAAAGTGTTCGTTAAATTTTGTCTGGGCATGTTTGTAATTTTGTACCCTCCAAAATTTGTTATTTTAAAAACGGTAACTTGAGGGTATGGTTTAGTTGTTGTGTAATGCTGCCTGGAAGGATGTTTAGGTACCTAGAGAAATAGGTCCTAGAACGTGCTCTCATAATACATCAAATATGCTTTCTAGAGTAAAAAGCGTGGTGGTGTAACTAATGTCATTTTACAGATAAGTATTTGTGGCATTCCATTTGCTGAGTGTGTATAGATTAGCACAACCTTATTCTGTGCTTTTCCTTAAGAGGGCGGCCTCCTGTGCAGTTAAAATTTTCAACTAAAATGCAAGAAAATGTTGAGTTAATCTCTGGAGGATACTTAAGCATGCTTGGTGGGCTTATGGTCGTTATCTTCAGCCTTTCCAAGAGATCAATTGTACTCTGTTTTAATTTGTCATTTCACTGGCACTTACTGGGTATTCACTACTATGGCCTACCATTTTGGATTTCAACTGCAAACTCTAAAACTTTTCTTCTTGATCCTTTTCAAACTTCTTTTCTTTGCAGGTAAAATTAGTATTTTCAAAAGAACCTTCGAAGCCGCTGACTCCCAGAATTCTCCCAAATCCACTGGCAGCTGCAGCAGCTGCAGCAGCTGTGGCAGTGAATTCCCCCTTCAGTCTTCGAACTGCTCCAGCGGCCACCCTCTTCCAGACATCTGCCCTTCCTCCAGCCCTCCTTCGGCCAGCTCCTGGACCCATTCGGACCACCCACACTCCTGTGCTCTTTGCTCCTTACTGAACTCCGAACAGGAGGTGTTGTACTGCAATAATTTTTAAGACAACAAAATGAAACTAAAATCAAACAAAAAGAGAACTATGCAGTGTTTATTTATAGTTTAAAGTGTATCTGAAGAGCCAGGACTTTTGATAGTAAAATGAAATGATTACTTAAAAAAAAAAAAAAAGAAGCGCGGATGTAGGGCTGGGGGGAGGGGAGGGAAGGCGTGGCATTTTCTTCAAATTAAAGCATTCTTCTTGAACACTGATTGTTTTAGAACTTATCTCCAGCACTGACTCATAGTGGTATCTAGAACTTCAAAAGTCTGTGACTGTGCTTTTTTGGGCACCTGTTACCCCTGCATTGTCTTTCCTGCTTTCTAAAACAATTATACATTGTCTAAGGGCATTAACTGGTTCCAATGTATATATAATAATTTACTCTATAGATTATAATAATATATATATATATATATAAAAGAAAAAAAGCAACAAAAACAAAAGCAACACTGTGAATAGTAGTGCTCTTGCTGGTCCTCTGGCTATGACAGCAGTTATTGGGTATGTATCCAAACAAAAATAGATACAGTAGATGTCTTGTCAAACAATAGTGCTGTGTCTCAATCTTTGCCATTAGGTTTTAAAGAACAAAAGGTAGAATGAACAGCTATTTCATACCTATAATCAGTAAACAAACAATCAAAAAACATCAGATGGTATCCTGGAAGGCTACATGGTCAGCACCCCTGTCCTGTATGCTTAGAGGTGAAGAGGTACCAAGAAGGACACTGCATCATCAAATACTAGTTTCCCACTTGGAACAGGGATTGCTGGAGAATGTGAAGTGTATCTGAAATGGCAATGTATCTGAAAACCAATCAACCCATGTATCATGGGCAAGTAGTAAGAAATCAGTTTAAGTGTTTTACTCTAAACCCGAGGAGCTGTCAGAATCTCAGATGATGATGTAATATGAGAACAGATCTATAAAAGCAGAGAAAACTAGTCATGTGTAATAACCCTTTATGTTATCCTTGTAGAGGCATAGCAAAAGGTTTTGCTTTAAATAGGAATGTCTGAAGACAGACATAAGCATGAGCTAAGGCTGTGTTGTTATCTTTTTCTGACTGATGGGACATAAACCTCTAACATACTTGTAAATGTTAGTGCTGTCAAGAAAAATTAATCTGAGTTCATTGCACACCAATGATAGGACATCAAAAAAGTATATTAGCAAGGTCCCCTAGACCATCATTTCTCTAGTGGCATTGTGAGATAAGAACTGCCTTTGATTATTTATCACAGAGCTGAAAGTAGTTGATGTTTTATCTTTAAAAAAGATTTATCAGGGGAATATATATATATGTATGTATATATATATGAATGTATGTATGTATATTGTATATATGTTAGAAAGATTAAGAAAATAACTTATAAAAAGAAAATCTATATGAGATAATTCTATAACCATTCAGTGTTACATGTTATCATTAAATTGGTAACAAATGGCATGAAATAGCTGTGCCTTTAATTTGTGATGAAGGCAGTATGCTTTTTCCCATTGAAAGTTAGCTTGCCCCTATACATATGATGGGGCTGGATGCAGACAGATAATTGCATTCAAAAATGATGACCTTCGACAAGAGAACAAGACAAAACATGTACACATCAGCCTTCTGTGACTTAGGATTGAAAATAAAAAATATTTTTGAAAAGGTTTTTTAAAAACTATTTAAAACTATAGGGATGGAATGAGTGTGGCCTTCCTGGAACTTCTTTTATCTCAATTGTAGTGACCTTCAGAGAGGAATAGAGAATTAAGGAGTCCCTGGAGACTTGTCATTTATATTTAAAGAATATGCATAGTGTGCATGGTGCTGACTGTTAAATGTGGTCTTTAGAGGACTTTCCCAGTGTCTAGTTGTAGAATTTGTCATGTAAGTGTATCTTTGAAGCAGCCGGCTGTGTATTCCTGTTATTTAACAAACAACCAAAACAACATTTTCAAAGAGGAAAGAAAAAGACAGATTGTAAAGGAAAACATATGGAGTAGAAGGAGAATGATAAGAAGCAAGTAGAATCATTCCATCAGTCTTTGGTACAAAGATCTTTTAGACATATCTGTCACTGAATGTGGTGATTTCTCAGTTGCAGTCTTTCTAAGCACCGCCCTCTTCTTTTAGCAAGTGTTTCCTTTGCTTATTTATTGGTTGCCTACAGATGGGACAAATTCAGCCAGGTGGATTTAGTTACCCGGAGTTTGTTACCATGTGACCAGCAGCTTCAAGTTGTGTTGCAACTTAATTTTTCTATTTGATTGTTCACTGTATTCACTGCATCTTGGTCTTTCCACCTGATGAGGCCACTTGTGCTTACTATCAATGCAATTTCATTATAATATATTTCTGTTGTTCCTCCCATTTTCACCAAAGCGAAGGAACCAGTCTGCAAGAAGTCAGGACCCATGGATCACATGGAGTCCTGGGTCACAAGGCATTAATAACTTTAATGGTTTGCTTGGAACAAACAAATCAGCCATATTTTCTTCATCAGCCATATGAGAACACTCAGAAAAACCTGGACCCCGTCTGCCTCACTTTGCGACGGAACCTCTTTTGTTTAAATGGTCTCTTAAATTGGAGTTTTAAGCATCAGTTGTCTTTTATTCACTACCTAATAAAGGATGAAGCCTAACCATTGAACCTCCAGTGGCTTCTCTGTGATTTCTTCCTCTGGCCCTATTTATTTATCTTGACTCAGCCAGCATCAAATATGGTACAGACTGCTACAAAGCGATAGTCTTTTTCTCTAGGAAATTTTCTTCAGAAATAAAGATTGACAATTCAGATACCTCAGCAATGGTACTATGAAAGTCCCCAAAGGTAGTCTGACTTCAGGGTTATACACCTTTTTCTGTGTGTCTTAACCAACACAGGTATGACAGGGTAAGTGCTTTTCATTTCATTGGAAACCATATAAATACAGTGCAAGGGCCAAAGAATGCAGAAGGCATTTGTGCCACTCTTCCAGAGGATTCAGGCAAGTGTAAACAGTGGTTGGGCTATGACTGTGTTTCTCTTCTGCAAAGACAGGTACAAACTTTGAAGAACAGTTGTTTCTCTCCCATAAGCAGGCAAAGTGGCTTTTAGCAAATTCTCTAGCCACTGCCTCATTGGCAAGGACTGCTATCTTTCTGCGCTGTTGGAACCTCTTACCATTGCAAAACATGCTATGTGACTAGAGACATAATTTTGTTAGCAAGGAAATAACTAGTGAAGATAATATAATGTTTATTTAGAATTTAGGAGAACAAGAAATAATAAAGCAAATATTTTTCAAATTTTAAAGAAAAATCATTTTCAAGAAAAGGTATGGGAGGGCTGGAAAGATAGCCCTGTGTTCATGTCACAGTATCTATACAATAGGACTAACAGCTGCCTATAAATCCACTTCCAGGGGAGCTAATGCTTCTGGCCTATAGGAGTATCTGTACTTCCATACACAATAACATGTGATTAAAAATAATAAAAATAAAATTTCTAAGAGGATAAGGTGGAAGTCACCGTGGGTATGTCTGTGTACATCTGCAAGCCACTGATCCAATAAGGTTTAGCAGTTTGCTCTACTTGCAGCTCAGGTTGGAGTATCATTGTGTCTGTGTCCACTCATGTTTCCCCATATCTGAAGAAGCCAGTTCCTGAGAACTGGGGATACAAGTCGGCTGGTAGACCTGTATGAACCACACCCAACATGCATAATCCTCTGGATTTGATTTCCAGGCCTGCACAAAACTGGGCATGGTGGCACATGCCTATCATACCATCCCTTGGGAAGCAGAGGCAAAAGGACCAGAAGTTCAAGGTATAAACAGCAAGTTAGAGGGAGTACATGGGGTACCATTTTCAAAAAAAGAAAATCAAATAGAAATCATACCAAGATCAGATCAGAAGTGGAAAGTGTAATGAAGTCTAAAGGGCTCTATTTCTGTATGTATGTTGATGTAGAGATGTATGTTTCTGTATGGGAGCATGGATGGCACTTATTAGTAACTATTTTTATATAAAGCATAAGTGTGACAGAGTGAGTGCAAAGGGAGTTAGAATCAGTTTATCTGGTGGTATAGGCCTTCAGGTTCTGCCACACAGAAGGCTGAGAAAGGAAAACTGTAAAGCTAAAGGCAGCCTTAGCAGCTTAGGTAGAATCAACTCAAAAAATAAAACTGAAGGGTCTGGAGAGATGGCTAAATGCCTTAGAGTGTCTGTTGCTCTTGCAGAGGACCTGCAACCAATGCCTAGCATCCACGCAAAGGCACACAATCATCCATAACATCAGTTGCCTGGTATCTGACACTCTCTTCTGGCCCCCAGCACTAGGCTTGCTCATGGTGTAAGCTGGCAATATATTCAAATGTATAAAATAATACAAATAAATCTTAGAGGGTAACAGTGTTTGCCATCAGGAAATCTCTTGGGACCCAAATGGTAGAAAGAGAAAACTAACTCCTTCACGTTTCACTTCCTGTACACACACACACACACACACACACACACACACACACACACACACACAGGTTGTTGTAGATTTTGTCTCTGAGCTCCAGGACTACTTCATATAGTTAAAATCTACCTTGTTTAAATTAATTAGAAAATACTGAGAGATTAAAGGCTTATCCAGCTTAATATTTCCACATTAAAACAGTATTTTTTGAATAATCTCTGAATTAAATTTGATTTTCTACAGTGAATAAAACAGCAACTCAGCTACTTATATTATCCCATACTGGTTGCATAGAGCCCAGTAAGGCTATATTGTAAGGCTAGATTGTATCAACTAGATTGTATGCCTCATCAATTAATAGTGGAGGAGTTGTTAACTGGCTTGATTTATATTCACTTATTGTAATCAAGCACATCATCATGTATGTGCTGTTTCTTTTGCTTTGCTGGGTTAACAAGACTCCAACAGAATCATTATTTAAGAACCTCATTCCCAAATGATGTGACAGACTTTGATGATCCCCCATGGAAGGCCTCACCCTCCCTGGGGAACAGAGGGGGATGGGATGACGGTGTGGTGGGGGACATGGGAGGATGGGAGGGAGAGAGAACTGGGATTGGTATGTAAAATAAGATTGTTTCTATTTAAAGAATAACAACAACAACAATAAAAAAGAACCTCATTCCTCTACTTAAGGCTTAACTAATTTTGCCTCAGTATTCAGTTTTAGCCAAGGACTATCTTGCCCATACGTTTTCTTGTATAGCTGAAAGTATTAGTTATTTCTTCCAGTCATGCCTGAACTGAGTCTTGACAGTAAACATTCTGTCTAGCAATTGCTGGTGCACATGATAAAGGGGGATATTTATTTCCAAAGCATCTCTTCTTGTTCTGTGTCCTTCAGTAAACAGAAAGGCTTCCATGCAGAGGTGAAATGGATCATTTATGTGGCAGGTCTCCATTGCCCACTTACTATGTCTGAGAATGACATTGCAGTTTACAGTGAAAGATGGATTTGCTGATGTGCTTTCCCTGTGTGGCCATCAAAATTGTTACTTCCGGGAGTAGATTAATAGCTTACCAGAATAACACATGATGATGTAGGTCACGTTCATTGCAAGGAAAAGCTCCTGTGTACTACAGAAGTCTATATGGGTCATGAGAGATCCCAGAGTTTAAGGAATAAAAGTTCAGGGTAGAAGAGAAGTGCTTAGAGGCATTTCCTTTTGAAAGGACAAAGAAATATCTTTAATAGGGAGATCTTCCTCCTTATATATTTCTTGGAAACTCATCCTTCCTAATGTCCAGGTTGACTCTACAAACTGCCAAATAAACTTGAAATTGATTTAATCTGATCATTGTTAGTTTGACCAAATTGACTCTTAATGATCTGTCACATTTACTAATAGTGTATAGAACAGGGCAAATTCTTTCCATGAATGACAAGCCACCTCTAAAGGCAATTTGTCAATATTTAGACTGAAATAATTGTGAGCTGACCCAAGTCTACAAGAATAAGAGTCCCAAACAGCTAGGTGTCAAGGGAGAGGACTGGAAATGAGAAACAGAGGAGGCAAGAAACGAAAAAGACAAAAGCAATAGCTAGGATCAGGAGGTGTGGCATAAATTAATGACTTAAGCCAAACAAGTGGGGGGGTGGGGAAGATTGGGAGGGAAGGGAGGGAAAGAGGGAGAAAGAACTGAGAGTAACGTGTAAATAGTTAAATAAAAATTTTAAAAAATGAGAAAGAAAAAAAAGAATTTCAGCATCATATACACTTGTAGGTTGAAAATGGCTAAGATCAATAGATAGCTAAATCAGACTATTTTGGCAAAGAGAACACAGGATACCTCAGATACAACTGCCTTAGGATTGATAACCACAGCCCAGAGGGAAGAATTACGTCTCCAGAATTCACAAGCTTGACTCCTCTGTGCCATGGGATCTGTCCTAGACCAACCTTGGCAAGTCTACTCTTGGAAAGGGACACAGAGCTAAAGTTCCCTTTATTCCTTTGTCATGGCCCTGAGAAAGTCTTGGATGGGTCTAGTTCATCACAATGTGTGAAAATATATTAAAAAATAAGTAAATGTATAATGATCAGTTCTAACAGTGCCCACCTACATACACACAATTTTTTAAAATGGGCCTCTCAGCAGGGCATTGGTGGGGCACGCCTTTAATCCCAGAGTCAGGTGGATCTCTGTGAGTTCCAGACCAGCCTGGTCTACTGAGCGAGTTCCAGGACAGGCTCCAAAACAATACAGAGAAACCCTGTCTCTAAAAACCAAAAAAAAAAAAAAAAAAGGGACTCTCAATGCTTTCCATAACTGTCATTTGTTTTAAAGTTATGGCAATCATTTTATTTTTAATGATTAGATTGGTTTTATGTTAAGAGACTGGAAAGATGGTTCAGCACTTACAAAAACTTGCTTTTTCTTTCAGATGACTGGGGCTCAGTTCTTAGCATGCACATTGTGGCTCATAATCATCTGTAGCTCCAGTTCCAAGGGACCCAATGCCCTCATCTGGCCTATGTGGAACACTTAATACATTTAGGCAAACACTCATTTACATAAAATTAAAATAAATAAGAAAAGTATAATTTTATAAGAACCATAATAGCTTTAAGGCACTGGAGGAATGAAAATTAGTGCTATGTGGGGGATCTGAGCTGTGTACCAAGGTCATCGTGCTAGCAATTGGTATTCTGTACTCTCACCATGTCCTTTCCTCGAACCTGGATATTAAACTATGAAGCTGAGCCCTAACCTAATCTCCATACCAAGCAGGGCACAGAACATGGATAAAGACAAATTATCAAAAAGAAAATATTTGGTAAGGACCAAGATAATATTAATGTCAAAATAATCTTTAAGTTTTAGAGTTATGAAGTAGAAATTCATTCAGAAATATTTTTCCATTTTTTAGGGTCTTGCTATGCAACCTGACTGACCTGGTACTTACTAGGTAGCCCAGGCTGGCCTTGAACTTGCCTCAACCCTTCTGCCTCTGCTTACAAAGTACTGTGATTATTGGTATGGGCCACCTCAGCTGACTGAGAAACATTACAGAGTTTTGAAGCTTTCATGCAGTTTGAAATTGTATTAAGCAAGCATATTGTGGGCTCTATTGCACCATGTTAATCCAACTGAAAAATCTATCATTGTATAATTATAACACAGGGTTCTCTGATTAGGGAAA